CCCCCAGCCATAAAACTTACTTATCAGGGAGTTGGAATTCCTGACCGGTATGCGACCTGCCTGAGAGACTTCATGGCTCCTGACTTTTATAATTTTTAATTTTTTTTTCAATATAAAGGGAAAATGGAAAATAATGGAGTAAAAAGGGTCAAATGGGGTGGGGAATGGGAGGGCAGGTAGAGGAGGGAGTATGGGGAGGGTTAGTAATATTCAAAGTCTTTAGAAAAAGCCATATGGAAACCTACCACTGTAGAAGCTACTTGAAGTATATATATATGATACACAAAGAGATTAAAAGGAGTTACTCTGTAACAGGGGGACATTGCCCCTTCTAGATACTAAAGGGTAGCAAAGTAATAGCCCAATGCCAGGAATGGACTCCCCCTTTTGAAGCTGTTGACCAGGGGTCCCACAGACCCTCAAACACTACTGGCTACCATTACCCTATACTTGGTTATCCACCAGAACTTCATGGTAAAATCTTATTACTGAAGACACTACATACATGAGCTATTAGAATAAACAAGAAGAACTCAAATCTTTTTACCAAAAGAATGATCATAAGAACATATCCTTTGGAATGCTACTTTGTAATCTTTCCTTTAATCCCAGCACTCAGGAGGCAGAGGCAGGCAGATCTCTGTGAGATGAGGCCAGCCTGATCAACATGGGGAGTGCCAGGTCAGCCAGGGCTACATAGCGAGACCCTGTCTCAAAAAAAAAAAAAAACAAAAAAAAAACAAACCAATAAACAACCCCCACCCAAACAAAAACTTTTGTTTATGCAAAAGACCCCACATTCCAAAATGTATTGCTTTCCCTGCAGTTTCTTTTAAAACTAATCAACTTGGAAAAACTGTGAGGTCAGACACCAGCAAAGAGGGGAAAAAGACACAGTACTCCTGTGTTAATATAAAACATTACCAAAAGCTGGACATGGTGGTTCATGCCTTTAATCCCAGCATTTAGGATTTATTTAATTTATTTATTTAAACCATGTTAAAAGGATGAGGAATAATTACCTTTGTTTTCTTGAGACAGCATCACACTAAGTAGCCCTGGACAGCCAGGGAACTATTTAGACCAGGCTAGCCTTGAACCCTCTGAGATAGGACTGCCTCAGCTTCCTGGAGTGTTGACATTCACAACCACACCCTACCACTGTAAAGTACTTTTCCTTCCCAGAATTCCTGCCCTTTAGGGCATTCATTCACTCCAGATCTACCCTGGGGTTCTGTTGGATCTGCCTACTTATCTTACCTTTTTCTACTTTTTCTTTAGGAAGCTGGCTGGAGCCTTAAGAATGCTTTCTCTGGTACTTCAGGCTTCCCCCACTTCCTCTAAAGATCCCCTCCCAACCCTGTGGCTGCTCAAATACCTTGGGGCTGTCCGACCTGGCAGACTCAGATGGCATAGATTTTTCTTTCTCTTTTCCATCTCCTCCTCTGAGAAATTTACAGCTTGCCTGGCCTGGAATTTTTCTTTAATCTCAAATAAAATTGTCCTTGAGCTTCATGGTTAGCCTATTCTTAATTCTTTAAAAAAAAAAAAAAAAAAAGAATTCTATTTTTAGCCGGGCGTGGTAGCATAAGCCTTTAATCCCAGCACGCCTGAGGCAGAGGCACGCGGATCTCGGTGAGTTCGAGGTCAGTCTGGTCTACATAGTGAGTTCCAGGTCAGCTGGGGCTAAAGGGAGATCCTGTATCGAAAACGCCAAAAAAAAAAAAAAAAAAAAAAAAAAAAACCCGAAAAAAAAAGAAAAAAAGAAAAAAAAAGAAAGAAAGAAAAAAAAAAAAAAAAGGAAAACAGGCTGAGCACAGGCCAAAGGAGCAAGTCAAGTAGCATTCCTCCATGGTCCATGCTTCACTTACTGCCTCCAGGTGCCTTCCCTGAGTTCCTAAAAAGGCCGTGTGGTGGTGCACACCTTTAATCCCAGCACTTCGGAGGCAGGGGCAGGCAGATCTTTGTGAGTTGGAGGACAGCTGGGGCTACAGGGGGACCCTGTCTCAAAACGACCTAAATTAATTAATTCTATTTTTATTTTAGGAGTGTATTGCCTGCATGGATATAAGTTCACAATGCCGGCAGAGGTCAGAAGAGGACGTTGGATTCCCCTGGAGCTGGAGTTACAGATGTTTGTTAATCGCCGCATGGGTGCTGGGAATCGAACTCGGGTCCTCTGCAAGAGCGGCCAGTGTTCTCAACCGCTGAGCCATTTCTCCAGTCCCTGTTCTTAAATTTTTATTGGTGAGACTAAACACCCCGAGGGGACCCCAATTTCCTAGGTAACATGTGGTGACAATGGTGGATTCCCGAGAATTTCTAGGAACAAGCATAGAAGAAGAGGGAAGAAACAAAATACTATATGGAAACTGATACCAGAATGGAGGACTTTTTGCTTTGAGACATGGTTCACACTAGCCCAGGCTGATCTTGACCGTGCTGTGATCCTCCTGCCTCCATCTCCGGAGTGCTGGGATTGGAGGTGTGCATCCCAATGCCTGACTTCTTCATTTTACTTTTTAACTTAGTTTACTTTTATTTTATGCATGAGTGTTTCATCTGCATGTATGTAAGTGCCCCCTATGTGGCCTGCTGAAGGCCAGAAGAGGGCACTGGATCCTCTAGAACTGGAGTTACAGATGTGAGCAGCCATGTGGGTGCTTGGAATGGAACCCCGGCCCCCTGCAAAAGCAGCCAGTGTTGAGCCCTCTCTCCAGCCCCATGCCTGGCTTTTTAAAAAAAATTTTATAACCATGTACTTAGGGCATTTGCAAATCTTTATTCACTCCTTGGAAAATTAACTGCTTTTATTCATTTACAAAGCAAAATACTTAATTTAAAAGTTAATTTCACCTTTTTCCATTGGGTGTCTTTTAAAAATTCCGGCAGTTCTGCACTTTCCCTCCCTATTCTTCATATTCATTCATACATCATCGAGCGAGATGAATAAATTCAGGCAATAAAAATCCGAGCTCCCTGCACACTTCCCTAGCACACAATGTGTTTGATTTTATTTGCACACCTCCACCTACCTCCTTTCCAACACCAGGTTGGTGTCTTCAGTAGTAAAAGAGTTTTCAGAGCAGTTACCTAATTAACCAGGTTTAGTAGACAAGGTGGAGCCCCATCCCGTAGGCGGAGTCACAGCGGCGGAACGACCAGGACGCCCGCTGCTTAACAAACGATCCCTTTAATCTCTTCAGAGTAGGGAAACACAGCAGCCCAACCAGCGGCCGCCGTCCTCGGCGTCGGCAGCGGGGCGGGACAGCGCAGGCCCCGCCCACTCCCAGCCTCCCGCCGCGGCCGTCGCGTCCTCGCGGGCTCCGGCTGGCCCCGCCCCCGCATCAGACGCGGTGGTGATTGGACGACGCTCCGTTCGCCGTTGCATCGGTTGCTGGGAGAAGGAGGTGGGGGCGGGGCCCGCGGTGGGCCAAGGGGGCCGAGAGAAAGGCTGAGAGGCGCGCGCGGGCGGGCTGGGCGGATTCGAGCGGCTGCGCGGCGGTTGGCGAGGCAGACAGTGTGGCCGCGTCGCCGTGAGGGGAACGGTTCCCCGCTGACAGCTCCGCGTCTTCCGGCCGCGCCACCCGGGAGGCGGCTTCCTCCCGGCGCTCCCTCCGCGCGGCCTCTGAGGAGCAGCCGAAGGCGACGGCTGAGGTCGTCGGGGGCGGCGGGCGGGGAGCGCGCTCCCCCCTTACCCGGCGGCGGCCGCAGGACAATGGAGGTGGCTGTGGAGAAGGCGGCGGCGGCCGCGGCTCCGGCGATGGGGGCCGGGGGCCCGGCAGCCGCGAGCGGGGAGAACGAGGCCGAGAGCCGGCAGGGCCCAGACTCGGAGCGCGGCGGCGAGGCGGCCCGGCTCAACCTGTTGGACACTTGCGCCGTGTGCCACCAGAACATCCAGAGCCGGACGCCCAAGCTGCTACCCTGCCTGCACTCGTTCTGCCAGCGCTGCCTGCCCGCGCCCCAGCGCTACCTCATGCTGACCGCGCCCGTCCTGGGCTCGGCCGAGACCCCGCCGCCCGTCCCCGCCCCCGGCTCTCCGGCCAGCGGCCCGTCGCCGTTCGCCACACAAGGTGAGCCGAGGGCGGGGTGGGGGGAGTGCGAGGCGGCGGCCGCGACCTGCTGTCAAGTCGCCGCCGCCCCGGGGTGCGCGGCGGGGGAGGGGCGGGAGGGTCGGCGGCGGCGGTGACACCGCGGGTCCTTTGGCCGGCCCGGGCAACTTCCCCCGCGGGGCCTGGGGACCCTGCGGTCCCGCACTTCGGCGGGGCTGGGACGGCGGGGGCTGGAGTCGGTCTCCAGCTAGTGGGGGTTGTCGGCCTGCTGCAGCAAGTTAGCTGCTCCCCGCTGCCTCCGCCAAGCTTTGTCCGGGTCCATATGATCCCAATCAGCTGGAATCCACCCGAGTGATTGGAGCTGGAGGGGGAAGGGAGGGATGGAGGCTCTAAGTGATGGGGAGTTGCTTTGATGATGGATTGTAGATTGGATGCCGTCTGTTTCCTATCTTGTGTGTTTTGGGGCTCTTTTACCTTAATGAGTTCCCTCTTCTCTCTCCCCTCTGTTGGGGACAAAGGAAGCCGGAGACGGTGTTTTGTTTGCCTCTTTTCGAAGGTTTTATTTTGAGCGAGACGGACGATGAAGGGGAAGAGTCTTAGAAAGTGGTTTGGGGGCGCAGTGTTGTATTTCGTAGGCAGTGCTTGGAAGTTACTTTCTCTTGTGTTATTGGATAATTAGTTTTTGACAGGTAGTTTCCATTGCTTATGTTAACAGGTTTGAAGCATTTAGAGTAAGTTAAACTAATTGGTAATTGCTTCCCTTGGAAAGCTTGAGGTTTTACAATTTTAATGCTTGAAAATATTTGAGCAGATGGACTCCTTTTAAAAATATAAGTAACTAGAAACGAGGATTTTTTTTTCCTTCGTGGTTTTATAAAATTGTTTTCGTTGGTAGTGTGTTTTATTTTGAACATTGTCTACATAGCCCAGGCTGGCCTGTAGTCAGCAATCTTCCTGCCTCAGTCTCTTCAGTGAGAGCTTGAGCCACCACCACCTGGTGGGAAGTCATTTCTAACATCTGTTTCTTAACGGGAGTCATTGATTTGAGTTAGTGGGTTAGGTCAAGATGCGATTACTGGCTTAGATTTTTGTCTTGGTCTTGTTTATTTAGCGCTGTCTTAGGAATAGTCCCTAGTTGTAGGAGACAGTTTACCATAGGTCTCTATTTCTGAGCTCTTGCCAGTGAGGTACTGACTGCTCTTTGTTTCTGTTTTTTCAAGGATGTAGTGTAAAGAACAGCCTTGCAAGAGAGTGTCTTCCACCACAGCAAAGGGTGGACATGCATGTTGTCAAGTATAATAAAGGTAACAGAGCCAAAGGGTAGGCGTACTTACTGCCCATCAAAAAAGGTTAAGGTTCCCTGCCTATGTAGGTGTCAGACAACAGACCCTTTTCACATTTGCCCAGTGGAAACTGGGGCTCTGGGAACTGATACAAAACAGTTGATATTTGGTTTATACTATTGCTATAAGGAATAAACTGCCTTTTGTCTCTGATTCTTCAGTTACTTTGATTACCATCTGTGAAACTCACCATCTGTGGAAAGCCTAGGCTACTTTTATTAGGTTGCAGTTAGGCAGAATTGTAGCTCTTTCACACTAGTTTCTTCCAAGGGCTGGAAAGTTAGTACAGGTGAAACTAACTTGCTACTTGCTGGAAAGTTAGTACAGGTGAAATGGAAATCTTAGTTCTTAGGGGCTGTCAAGGTGGCTCAGTGGTTAAGAGCACTGACTGCTCTCCCAAAAGACTTGGGTTCGATTCCCAGCACCCACGTGGTGGCTAACAGTCACCAGTTCCAGAGGATCAGATGCCACCTTCTGACCAGAGAGGGCATTACATGGCATGGGTGCACTGACACATGCGGGCAGTACACTCAGACACATAATAAATAAAAATCTTAGTTCTTAATAAATATGTAAGTACACCCATATGAACATGTGTACATATACATATATAGTATTGTTGGCAATTAAGCCCATGGCCTTGAGAACAAAAAGCACAAAATACCACATTTTTGGTCTTTTTGAGACAGGGTCTTCCTGTAACTCCCAGCTGGCCTGGAACCCACCATCCTTTTAACTTTAGACACATTTTAAGGTTTCTGTCCTTAGCAGAAGGTTTATGTTCTAGTTAACTCTCCATTATTGTGACTGAAACCAACTTGGGGAGGAAAGGGTTTATTTGGCTCACAGCACAGTTCATCATCAAGGGAAGCCCAGGCAGGAACCTGGAACACAGACTACAGAGGAGTGCTGCTTACTGGCTAGCTCTCCTGGCCTGTGCTCAGCCTGCTTACCAACACAGGACCAACCTGTCCAGGGGTGGCACCACCCACAGTGGGCTGGGCCCTCCTGCATCACAGGACAATCAAGAGAATGGCCCACAGACATGGCCATAGGCCAGTCCAATGGAGACAGTTCCTCAATTGAGATTCCCTCTACACAAGTGTGCCAAGTTGACAACTAAAGCTATCCAGCACCGTGTGGTTTAAAGTCCCTTATATGAAATGGCCTAGTACATAATCTGTGCACAACTTTGTGTAGATTTAATACAACTTTAAATGCTGAATGAGTTCTTACCACATTGTTTGGGAGAAAATGAAAAAAGTCTAGCAGTTCCCACCTCAGTATTTTCCACCTGTGGTTGGTTGAATCAATGGATGCCCAACCCAAAGGGGGTATTGACATAATTTTTTTTTTTTTTTTTTTTTTTTTTTGAGACCAGGTCTCCCTGTAGCTCCCAGCTGGCTTGGAACTCACTATGTAGACCAGGCTGGCCCTGAACTCACAGAGACCTGCCTGCTTCTGCCTCCCAAGTGCTGGGACCCCAAGAGGGGCGCATCACCACACCCGGCTGTATTTACATTTTAAGTGATTGAATACATGTGAATTTTTTTTTCTTTTTACGTTAATTGTGTGCTTGTGTATGGGTATGAGGAAGTCATGGGGGATCTTTCCGGACTTGGTTCCTCTACAGTGTGGGTTCTGGGGACCAAACAAATCATCAGGCTATCAGGCTTGGCAGTACCCTGATCTGCTGAGCTGCCTTGCTAGCCCTTGAACAGATTTTAGTAGCCAAGTATGATCAGAACTTTGCTAATTCTAGAAATACGACTGAGGTGCTTAACACTTGGACTTGCATGAATGAGAGTATAAAGTTCTGGCCCTCAGTTCTGAGACATTTCATTCAGCTCATGCTTTTTAGTTTCCATATTTTCATATCTTTGTGTTGTATTATAATCTAGAGTCAAAGGAAAACATGTAAATCCAGAGAAAACATTAAGAAATAAAGGACAGGGGCTGGAGAGATGGTTTAGCAGTTGAGAGCTCTGGTTGCTCTTGCAGAGGACCCTGGTTCAGTTCCCAGCACCCACATGGTGGTTAACAACCATCTGTAATTCTAGTTCCAGTGTATCCAACTTCTGACCTTCATGGGCCTTGCACAACATGAGTACACTTACATATATGCTGGTTAAACATATGCTGAAAAACAACCAAAACCTCCAAACAACTAAATGAAAGGACAGCTGCATGTGGTGGTACATGCCTTTAATCCCAGCAAAGGCAGGCAGGTAGGTCTCTGCTGGCCCAGAGATGAGATCTTTGTAGCTAGGGCTACAAAAGAGAGATCCCGTCTCAAATGAAGGAATGAATGAAAGAATGAATGAACAATATGTACCTAAACACACACTTGTAGTATTAAGATTACTTTGAGATAGGCTCTCATTTTAGCCCAGGATGGCCTTGAATCTGAGGTAATCCTTCGCCTCACATGCTGGGATTACAGGTTTGAGTCACCATACCCAGCCACTCAGGATTTTTGTTTTCACTTTTGTGTGTATGCATGCTCTATAGCCTGTGTGTGGAGGTCAGAGGATGATGTGTGAGATTCAGTTTCTCCTTGTGTCATATGGGTTCCAAGGATTAAGCCATCACTTACACATAGTTTCTTAAGCCTCCATAAGTTTTTGTATTCACCAGAGTTCACTGCAGAAAGATGTTTCTGATTAAGAGTAGCATTTATCTGTAGGCATTTGTATTTAGGGAGGCAGTTTGACATTGTGTCCATGTAGCTAACCAGCAATATTTAGTTCTCACTGCCCTCCACCCCCCAATGATTTTTCCCAAGCATGAGCTTTTGACCAAGTTTACAGTATTAGGCATGGATTACCTCTTATGGCATATGCCTCAAATCCAATCAGAGCAGTTGGTTACTCTCATATCAGGTATGCCACTATCGTAGGTTTGTCTCCCCTGACAGGTTAGTATTATAGTTTATAGGTTAACAGCTGGTTGAGCCTGATGATGCCTTAAGTAGCCTGCATAGCAGCTTTGAAAACTAGCCAGCAAGGGAGGAAGTTTCTACCTCGTTCCGGCTTGATTTCTCTATATCTTGCAATTAAAGTATATGGTGTCTTCTGTAATAGGATCTTAACTAGTTGTGGTAGGCAAGGAGGAATGACAGTAACCTGTGCTGTTTGGGGAGGGGGAGGAGTTCTAGGGCTTCCCTGACTGACAGTTTCTATGGCAGTCTCCCCTACCAGGCACTGGGATTTTTAAAATATTATTTTGGTCTTTTTGAGACAGGGTCTCCTTGTAGCCCCAGATGGCCTGGAACTCGCTATGTAGACCAGGCTGGCCTTGAACTCACAGAGATCTGCCTGCCTTTGCCTCCTGAGTGCCAGGATTAAAGGTGTGCGCCACCACACCCAGCTTAAAAAAATTATTTTAAAATTCTGTGTGTTTCTGTGTGTATGAGTTCTGTGCCCATGGAGGCCAAAAGAGGGCGGTATTGGATCCCTGGAGCTGTACTTGTTACATAAGTGTTGGTAGCTAAACTTGGGTCCTCTGCAAGAGCAGTATGGGCTCTTGATCACTAAGCCATCTCTCAAGCTCTTGCACTGGGAATTTTGTTTAATGAATTAATTGCTTCCAGGAGAGGCATTGTCTAGCCATGCGGGATATCTCCCTTTAGACTCTCTTTTATGTCCTTTTTTGCATTTTTGAGACAAGGTTTTCCTG